ATATAGTATACATTTATATAGGTAACAATACCTTCTGGCTGGGTATACACACAACACACATATATATTATACATTTATATAGGTAACATTACCTTCTGACTGGGTATACACACAACACACACATATAGTATACATTTATATAGGTAACAATACCTTCTGGCTGGGTATACACACAACACACACATAGAGTATACATTTATATAGGTAACATTACCTTCTGACTGGGTATACACACAACACACACATATAGTATACATTTATATAGGTAGCATTACCTTCTGGCTGGGTATACGCACAACTCATATATAGTATACATTTATATAGGCAACATTACCTTCTGGCTAACACACATATATAGTATACATTTATATAGGTAACATTACCTTCTGGCTGGGTATACACACAACACATATATATTATACATTTGTTAGACATAACCTCGATCGAAACTTCCTCGTAGTACTTCGGGATTTCAGGTGTAATTTAGAATCAAGTAAAAGCCTCCAAATTGGATTTATCTGAGTTTTTAGATACACAGATTGAAATACGAGGCCTCGGAAAGTTCACTATTTAGTACACCTTTGTAGAACCAAGTTTGTGCGTAAGCTTCTGTAACATTTTCTGTACTAAGTAATTTAATTAGTTTATACATGGATGTCTTGCATCAATAATATGGTTTTAACAGTTTTAGTTGGAGGAATCCAGATTCTTTACATATGCAGTAGTACATACTGGGCATATACGGTTAGAAACAGTCTGTTTATTTTATCGCCCTGTTTCAATTGTTAAACAGTTCGCTGACAAATGAATACTACAAATTACTTTCTTGAATTTCAATAGAATTAGCTTTGATAAATGCCTTTGCAGGCATACATGGTCTACAAGATATTGGTACAAGTTCCACTTTGAAGAAGTTGAAAAAATTGCGAACAGATTTTGCTGAAATGTATCATGCGAGCCTTGTTTGACTAAAGGACGAAACTATTTTAAGTCAGTATTTTGCTGATTTTGCCATATTTCTCCCATACCTAACAATGACGGTTCCCTATTTTTACACTTGCTGCCAAGTTTTTACAATTTGGATTTTTTCATTCACACCTATTAAACAAATATTCATAGCAACCTTTGAGTATACAATTATGCGTCCTTAATCATTTACTTCAGTATTTGAATATCCTTAACTTCTTGATCACAGAGAAAGAGTATCTACCAAGCTCACAATAGACCATAACATTGGGTATATTCTAACAAAAATCAAGATGCACTGTTTCGATAGCATTAGCCTTATGCATACTCCACACTTCACGTGCATAGTTAGCAATGCTACCAACATATGTATCGAAAAGTGACAAATAAGTTTTGAAATTTAATTGCATGTCTATCCATGATTTTCTTAGGGTGAATACTGTTTTACGACATATAGCGGCTAATTGTTTCTAAGCCAAATTGAAGTTGCCCTTAAATTTCAGAATAATACCAAAGTAACAGAACTCATCAACAATTTCAATAAATTCACCTTTGTAAATCCATTACTCATTACACAAATTTCCTGATTTTCTAAATACAAATATTTTAGTTTTATAAATATTAACCGAGAGACTCCACCCGTTAGTGTAATCAGACAGAGTATTTAACATTGCCTGTAGGCCTTCAGCACTTTCTGAAAATAGCACCGAGTCATCAGCAAACATCAGTAAAATAGCGATAATTGTTGCAATTCTGTAGGTTGAATACCATTGTTTAAAAAATTGTTTTCACAGTCATTGACAAACATTGAAAATAAAAGTGGTGACACAATTTCTCCTTGTAACACCCCAGTCACATTATTGAAAAATCTTGAGCATTTATAATTACCATCTTATAAAATGCAATACCTAATATTGTTATCTTACTGAATAGCTAGTGATTCCAAACATCTGTTATAACACTAGGCCACTGGAGTGTTCATATACACATGCTGATATTATATAAAAACGAATACGATACGAATTTAAAGAGGAACAATATGATGTCTGTTTTAAAAAACACTTCTGTAAAGATTTAATCTTATTTTTAGTGTACATAAAGACCGACATTACGTGTTGCAATATATATAGAAGGGAGAAAACTCTTATATTTGTGTAATCTATTTCGATTATCCCCTTTATATGTTTGTTTACATTTGGGGGGAAAAGAAACAGGGCAGGTAACGGTGAATGGTGTAAGAATAACAATATCTCATTGAACAACATTGGAATGCCAAATTAGAAAATAGACTTGGAAATACAACGAGACCCATTTACTCGATAAAAGGAATTGTGATAACTACCTGTGTATATATACCTGAACAGGTTCTTACCTGTATCTTTTTAGCTGTCGACATACCGGTGAACATGCGTACTAAGTATAAACAAATGTAAACAATGCGTGGATAGGTAATGTCTACCTGGGTACGATCGGATGCAGTTATATAAAAATCACTGCATGACTTGATTTCAGGAAACACTTTAATTGACAACACGGGTGTCGGGTAGGTATCATTTATTGTTACTACTTCCAATCGATCACGTATCACATATACTGTAATATAGTAAACTGTCTTACCATTAATTTGCAGATAAGAAATGTAACATGAGAGACACATTCCAGACATTTGTGTGAAGTTTGAGGATAGTTTTATTTAATCCGTACATGTTATCGTGAATAGATTATCGTTTCCAAACGACAGCTGGCGTACACAAAGTAACACACACGTACATGTGTATAGGTACATTGTACATGTATACATTGTGCACAGTGTATGTACATGTACGTATAAGCTGATCAACATGAGCTTACAAACAAGTTTTGGTAATTTGTCTATATGACCTTGTACTTATTCAAAACATTAAGTGAAAGGTAGCAGGGATAATGTACGTAATCAGTGGCCGGTTAGTAACTTATAATTCCTTACTGTTACATTATTGTATTGGAGTTACTTCCCCTCCAGCACACGTATACACACACAACAAAGGTATGAGTGCGATTATTATAATTATATAGAATAATTCATCTAAACAGAAACAAAACATTATTTCAGAATTTGGCTCGTTTGAAAACTGTCGATACATGAAGTGAAGACAGCATACTAGAAGTGACCATAGTTTACAATTACTAGTGACCAAGGTGAACTTGTACCTTACATCGGTTTGTTTGTTTGTTTGTTTGATTTTGTTTAACGTCCTATTANATACTAATTTTCATCCGTGTATGATTATTTGTACTTTGTTATTGATCATTTCTAATTTTTCGTGACATGTTTGTTCACCTTTTTCGGATCATACGATTTCATTTGTTCAAAAGACATAAAAATAGATATGTGCCCACAGTGAGAGTCGAACTCACGACCCCTGGTTTACGAGACCAGTGCTCTAACCACTGAGCTATACGGGCGTTGAACATTAAAGTAAAAATATATTTTTAAAAATTCAAATTTACATTATGTGCGTTTAAAAAAGTTTGGTATAAAAATCAAATATGAATGACATATTCCCTCAAATATATATATAAACATGAAATAAATCAACCACTTAAGCTGTAACTATCGACTATATTATAAGTATATATTTCACTTTCTTTTGATATCGTAAAAGATTGTCACTACATGTAATTCTATAAACTGCTAAACAGATACATATGAATTGTATAACTGAGGTACCTCAGTGAATTTTTTTTTAGCTTTTTACAATAATGTGATTATCCTTATTTTTTGTATAGCTCATTATTTAACTTCTTAACAATAATTAATTAGGAAAACGGCAGAATAACCAACCGTAACTTATAGAGACGTACAAAACTATGCACGTCTCTGCGTGACTTAGATCAATGTCTCGCTTCAATAACCCATCCGGGGTCGTGTGTTCTGTACATAGGCCTACTATTTAACCGACAGTGAAATAACCATTCGTATGTATATGTATATTCCTCCACCAATAAAACCTGGCATTTAAATGACCATAGCTGTTAAAAGGACGTAAAACACAATCAAACCAAAACCAAATATGTATAGCGATATATGTATTTTGTCGGTATGGATTTACTCTCAATATGTGTTATCGCTAATAATTATGATGTTTTACTAAAATACCAACACTTATCAATTATTAACTTTTGTCGAGGTCCATACGTTGTTATACAGGACGCAGACAAAATTCCATAATTTTTATATTAGTTATCCTGTCTTTAGAAAACATGAGATATTATATATCCAAATAGTGAGAATCAAGGGATAGTTTCGGGGGAAAAAACTGGATCTAAATTTAGAAACGTGAGTTCAATATGGTCGATCACGCTCAAGACAATAATAATAATATAAAAAAAACACGTCATGGAGTCGATATGCTATATATATTGGCTAACCTAAGACCAAATTTTAGCCAATTGGAATCAAGGAAAACCAGACCATATGTCATATTGTGAAGTGAATGAAAAAATTGGTATAACCATTTCCATATTCTACCCGTATCAACCCTGGATTCATATAATTTCTCGTGTCCCCTGCCTCTCGGGCTGGTGTGAAAGTCTGGGGTTGATACATGGTATGATATGTAAATTATCATATAATTACATTGCCATTCAAATATAATCAATGACCACTGATAATCAATCTGTTTCCTTTCACAGAATTGTTGCAGATTTCTAAGAGTCTAGTAAAGACATATGACAGCCCCGCAATAAGTAAAGTCCTGAGGTCAGCGATGAGAAGGCGACTACGTCACATGGTATTGATGTCCGACATACGATGTGTATCATACGTCTTGTGATAACTAGAGGACTTGGTAAAGAGCCAGACTGAAAACACTTTGGAGTAAAACCCGAATTTTGTTCGTCTTTAAACAATGTGTGTCACTTGAACGACCCAGAGAGCGTTCCGGAAGTGCTGGTTTCGTGGAAGTGGCGTGATGGCCGCGGACCTTGATACTATGCTGACCTCTCTTAGAGGGATGAAGGTCGAGCTAATGATCAGTTGTACGGACCTGGTGGACCTCGATACCATGACCAAGTCAGACCCCATGTGTGTTCTCTTCGTCAAATCCATGGGTAAATGGGTCGAGTACGATCGCACAGAGTCCATCAAAAACACTCTTAACCCAAAGGTACGTCATCAGTGCTTCTGTATGTCCGGGACGGCCCACGGAACGTCCTTAAATCTTTGCCTGACTACAAATGGTAGAAGCGTGTCATGCTACAGATTGAATAAAACAAAAACGCTAGCGATTAGTCTGATTTCCCATAACATTAATTAAAAAATCATTTTTTGAGCTGTATTGATTTTCTTTCAATTTTTACTTTCAGTTTGAAAAGTCCTTCGTTATTGAGTTTGACCCAAGGACTTACCACTATTTGCGTTTCTCTGTCTATGACATCGACTACAAGTAAGTACGTTGAACGTGATATCAAACTCAGATATCACGACTTGACAATATTCCAAATATTTTGTTCAGCTTGGTAAATAGATATTGTATATAGATGTTAATTTGTGACATTTTCGATGACTAGTACGTTATAACACAAATAACTGGTAAACCTTTATACACTTGGATGAGTCTATCGGCCCCTTCGTCTCGGTTCAGAACTGCCCCAATGCGGCGTATACAAAGGGTTTACTTGTATCCGCCTCTTAGTTAGTCTGCTGTACCTATCCACAACTTTGGATGTACATGTATTACAATCAATTTAACAATTTTGCTGTGCGGTATGGAAAATGATCGCCAATCAGTTTCTGGGAGGAATGTTCCTTTTTTTACCAGGTCTATTTCTTTTGTTCTATGTGTTCACCGAGGCGGTCACCCAAACTTCTTCCTATCTTTCTGATTTAACCTACGCCAAAGTTCTTGTATCCAATTGTGTACAAGTATTCTGCGACATTGTCGTGGGTTGTGTCCAGCGTCATGTAAGGTTGCACGGCTCTTGCTATGTCGTGGCCGCTGGTCATTTCGGACCGTCCCTTTATATATAGCTGATGACCAATTGACTTTTCGTTTGGTTCCTCTCCTTAAACATAAATCGTGTCCTTCCTCTTTCTTTATCCTTTTGAGTGGCCATTGCAAATATCCACATATTTTCCCTATTTGACCGATGTGTTCCTGCTTTTGCTCTTTGTCATGGTTTTCTGTGACTTAAGAACATCATCAGCGGCGCGACGTGTGTACAGTGTACAATACCCATTTTTTAGCCAGGTGCGAAGCATGGTGAGATCTGAAGGTTTGGTCCATGTGCATTGTTTAACTGAAACTGAAATACTTACATTTCCACTACCTATGGCGTCGTGTCATTGCTTTTCAGATATAAATTTGATGCTGGTGTCGGTCGTCACCTTTAAGACACCAAAGCTCAACACCAGAGGGAATGCACCAAGCCAGCAAAGCGTACCAAATAAATAATTTGGCAATCACAGACTATACCATACAGTAAATTCCATATGGGTTACGAAAGCCTCTTGATACCCCGCTTAGGGCCAGTTCTTTGACCACGTTTTAAGAAAAGTTCAGCCGAATCAAACTTCTCAAATCCTTTCAGACATTGTTCCCATGTATATGTACATGTGTCTGACTGGTCATTTGTCAGATGAAGGTTACAGGTTACATATCGTACATTGTTCCCCTTAGGTAAGTGTACATATGTCGCACTAGTCATTTGTCAGATGAAGGTTACAGGGTTCATATCGTAAATTGTTCGCCTTAAGTAAGTGTACATATGTCTCACTAGTCATTTGTCAGATGAAGGGTACAGGGATCATATCGTAACTTGTTCCCCTTAAGTAAGTGTACATATGTCTCACTAGTCATTTGTCAGATGAAGGTTACACGGTACATATCGTATATTGTTCCCCTTAGGTAAGTGTACATATGTCTCACTAGTCATTTGTCAGATGAAGGTTACAGGGTACATACCGTAAATTGTTTCCCTTAAGTAAGTGTACATATGTCTCACTAGTCATTTGTCAGATGAAGGTTACAGAGTACATATCGTAAATTGTTCCCCTTAAGTAAGTGTACATATGTCTCACTGGTCATTTGTCAGATGAAGGTTACAGGGTACAGATCGGATTTTGGTCCCGTTAAGTAAGTGTACATATGTCTCACTAGTCATTTGTCAGATGAAGGTTACAGAGTACATATCGTAAATTGGTCCCCTTAAGTAAGTGTACATATGTCTCACTGGTCATTTGTCAGATGGAGGTTACAGGGTACATATCGTACATTGTTCCCCTTAAGTAAGTGTACATATGTCTCGCTGGTCATTTGTCAGATGAAGGTTACAGGGTACAGATCGGATTTTGGTCCCGTTAAGTAAGTGTACATATGTCTCACTAGTCATTTGTCAGTTGAAGGTTACAGGGTACATATCGTATATTGTTCCGCTTAGGTAAGTGTACATATGTCTCACTAGTCATTTGTCAGATGAAGGGTACAGAGTACATATCGTAAATTGTTCCCCTTAAGCAAGTGTACATATGTCTCACTGGTCATTTGTCAGATGAAGGTTACAGGGTACAGATCGGATTTTGGTCCCGTTAAGTAAGTGTACATATGTCTCACTAGTCATTTGTCAGATGAAGGGTACAGAGTACATATCGTAAATTGTTCCCCTTAAGTAAATGTACATATGTCTCACTGGTCATTTGTCAGATGGAGGTTACAGGGTACATATCGTACATTGTTCCCCTTAGGTAAGTGTACATATGTCGCACTAGTCATTTGTCAGATGAAGGTTACAGGGTTCATATCGTAAATTGTTCGCCTTAAGTAAGTGTACATATGTCTCACTAGTCATTTGTCAGATGAAGGTTACAGAGTACATATCGTACATTGTTCCCCTTAGGTAAGTGTACATATGTCTCACTGGTCATTTGTCAGATGAAGGTTACAGGGTACATACCGTAAATTGTTTCCCTTAAGTAAGTGTACATATGTCTCACTAGTCATTTGTCAGTTGAAGGTTACAGGGTACATATCGTATATTGTTCCCCTTAAGTAAGTGTACATATGTCTCACTAGTCATTTGTCAGTTGAAGGTTACAGGGTACATATCGTATATTGTTCCGCTTAGGTAAGTGTACATATGTCTCACTAGTCATTTGTCAGATGAAGGGTACAGAGTACATATCGTAAATTGTTCCCCTTAAGCAAGTGTACATATGTCTCACTGGTCATTTGTCAGATGGAGGTTACAGGGTACATATCGTACATTGTTCCCCTTAAGTAAGTGTACATATGTCTCGCTGGTCATTTGTCAGATGAAGGTTACAGGGTACATACCGTAAATTGTTTCCCTTAAGTAAGTGTACATATGTCTCACTAGTCATTTGTCAGATGAAGGTTACAGGGTACATATCGTACTAGTGATCGAAGCGTCACACACAATACTGTCACTGGTTACCATGGATGCATTTGGTTAGCCTTTTAATTTTCTCTACCAACTTTTGAATTTAACGAACAATTTCAGTAAATGGCATAAAATCATAACATGAAATTATGCGAAATTCAAATAGAAAGATGATGACTTGTAATGTCCAATGCTACATGTATTTCCTGTAGATATTTCTATGTCAGTAAAGTTACATGATGTGGGTGTCAATTAGAATGAAGACGAGGAAATGTAACGCTCAATGCTGTTGTTTAACTCTCCTTATCCAGTAACGCCAAGCTAGAACTGCAGGACTACGTGGGCTGTGTGGACCTCAATTTCATGGATATCGTCAGCACCAAAGATGCCTTGTATACATGTAATAAAATACTCCGGGTCCAAGGTAAATCATTGTGCTCAAAACTGACGGGAAAAACAAAAGATCAATTTAAAACATTTTTATCACTTAGCATGTTTTCTTTCAATCTTTCATGAACAAACGTTTCATCTAAAAATATAAAATGAATATTATGATAAAAACTGATTAACTTTGCACTTTTCAATTGTATTATGGCATCAAATAAAAATAAAAATCGTTGACCTGACAGATGAAAAAAACTCTACTGAACCAGAAATACGTTAGATATATTTTTTTAGTAATCCAAGAACCGGCATGAGTTTAGGTTTTTGACTATATTTTCGTTTCTAGAGTTGTTGTGTTAGGAATAAGATTCTGTCCGTCTCCACCTAGTCAATTGTATCGATGGAAACCTCGATATATGAACATGAACATATTTATTTTCCAGAATCATCCAAACCCCGGGGAACGATCAGCATTACGTCAGAGCTGATGACAGAAACACGAGATATTGTTAATATCCACGTGGCCGCTCACAAACTCGATAAGTCAAAGGGCATGTTTTCTAAAAAGGTAAGTGATTACATTACAACAACAAATAATTCATTTTGTTCTTAATGGTTTTGGAGTCGCCATAGAGACCTAGTGAGGTATACGTACCATATCATCTCTCACATTGCCTGTAAGGATACGTATGTGTAAACCACCACTAATTAAGTCGTACAACTACCCAGGCCAGCCACCACTAATCCAGTTGTCTTTCCTTTACTAGACTGCCAGCCGAACAGTCAACCTAGCAGTGCACTTTAATCACTATCACAGCAATCTTATCGTATGAGCCTTCTCACTGACATGGAAGCCTCTATGGAGCGGCGTCTAATTTAATCAATCAGTAGAAAATGTGTGAATGTACAAGAACAGCTCTAGATCTACTTGCGTTCACTTTTGTGCACTCTTACTCCAAAATTCAAACCGCTTAAAACGACTAGTGTAAATGATATATAATCCATCCGTTTAATAACCATTTAGATAAATCTATATATTGATATCCGATAAATGTTGCCTTGTGCCCGAGGTTAAAAAAAAAAGAGGCAAAACTGAAAAGACAATAACTCTGGAAAACCTTATGGCAACTTCCTATTTTCTCTTTCCTGAAAAGACACTTTGGCTTCACACTTAAACAAACTACTTCAATAATATATTAGATAAAGATCTACTCCAAACACAATCAGCCTCTCCCTTATCTCTACCTTAAGGTAGAGCAATTCATAATTAAACAAATGGCCGTACGCTGTGAGTTCCAAGGCTAGAAAGGCCACCTTATACACGTGTCTACTACTGCCTTGGGAAACGTGCACTCATCTAATGCCTAATGGATATCCATTAATACCAGTATACTCCGAGCATGTTTCCCGCTATACTACGAAACGCAGGACAATGATTGTACCATTATCTTACCGCCACCTATCTATTCCTACTATCCAGTCACCACTTTTTAGGGTGGTACCACTCTACGAAGAAACCTGATTCATTCGTCCAACAATCCAACCACCACTTATCCAGTCCATTCGACCACCAGTAATCCTAACGTACATGTACCACTATCCCATCACCACTAATCATGTCGTTCATGTACCACTATCCGATCACCACTAATCATGTCGTTCATGTACCAATATCCGATCACCACTAATCATGTCGTTCATGTACCAATATTCGATCACCGCTAATCATGTCGTTCATGTACCACTACCCCACCATTAATCTTGTACTACATGTACCACTATCCGATCACCACTAATCTTGTAGTACATGTACCCCTATCCCACCACTAATCTTGTAGTACATGTACCACTACCCCACCACTAATCTTGTAGTACATGTACCCCTATCCCACCACTAATCTTGTAGTACATGTACCACTACCCCACCACTAATCTTGTAGTACATGTACCCCTATCCCACCACTAATCTTGTAGTACATGTACCACAATCCGATCACCACTAATCATGTCGTTCATGTACCAATATCCGATCACCACTAATCATGTCGTACATGTACCACTATCCGACCACTAATCTTGTCGTACATGTACCACTATCCGATCACCACTAATCATGTCGTTCATGTACCACTTTCCCACCATCACTAATCATGTCGTTCATGTACCACTATCCCACCACTAATCTTGTCGTACATGTACCACTATCCGATCACCACTAATCATGTCGTTCATGTACCACTATCCCACCATCACTAATCATGCCGTTCATGTACCACTATCCGATCACAACTAATCTTGTAGTACATGTACCACTATCCCACAACTAATCTTGTCGTACATGTACCACTATCCGATCACCACTAACCTTGTAGTACATGTACCACTATCCGACCACCACTAATCTTGTAGTACATGTACCACTTTCCCACCACTAATCTTGTCGTCCATGTACCACTATACCACCACTAATCTTGTCTTCCAAGTACCACTATCCGACCACTAATCTTGTCGTACATGTACCGCTATCCGATCACCACTAATCTTGTCGTACATGCACCACTAATCTTGTCTTCCATGTACCACTATCCGACCACCACTAATCTTGTCGTACATGTATCACTATCCGACCACCACTAATCTTGTCGTCCATGTACCACTATCCGATCACCACTAATCTTGTCGTACATGTACCACTATCCGACCACCACTAATCTTGTCGTACATGTACCACTATCCGACCACCACTAATCTTGTCGTACATGTACCACTATCCGACCACCACTAATCTTGTCGTACATGTACCACTATCCGACCACCACTAATCTTGTCGTACATGTACCACTATCCGACCACCACTAATCTTGTCGTACATGTACCACTATCCGACCACCACTAATCTTGTCGTACATGTACCACTATCCGACCACCACTAATCTTGTCGTACATGTACCACTATCCGACCACCACTAATCTTGTAGTACATGTACCACTATCCGACCACCACTAATCTTGTAGTACATGTACCACTATCCCACCACTAATCATGTCGTACATGTACCACTATCCGACCACCACTAATCTTGTCGTACATGTACCACTATCCGACCACCACTAATCTTGTCGTACATGTACCACTATCCGACCACCACTAATCTTGTCGTACATGTACCACTATCCGACCACCACTAATCTTGTCGTACATGTACCACTATCCGACCACCACTAATCTTGTCGTACATGTACCACTATCCGACCACCACTAATCTTGTCGTACATGTACCACTATCCGACCACCACTAATCTTGTAGTACATGTACCACTATCCGACCACCACTAATCTTGTAGTACATGTACCACTATCCCACCACTAATCATGTCGTACATGTACCACTATCCGACCACCACTAATCTTGTCGTACATGTACCACTATCCGACCACCACTAATCTTGTCGTACATGTACCACTATCCGACCACCACTAATCTTGTCGTACATGTACCACTATCCGACCACCACTAATCTTGTCGTACATGTACCACTATCCGACCACCACTAATCTTGTCGTACATGTACCACTATCCGACCACCACTAATCTTGTCGTACATGTACCACTATCCGACCACCACTAATCTTGTCGTACATGTACCACTATCCGATCACCACTAATCTTGTCGTACATGTACCACTATCCGACCACCACTAATCTTGTCGTACATGTACCACTATCCGACCACCACTAATCTTGTCGTACATGTACCACTATCCGACCACCACTAATCTTGTCGTACATGTACCACTATCCGACCACCACTAATCTTGTCGTACATGTACCACTATCCGACCACCACTAATCTTGTCGTACATGTACCACTATCCGACCACCACTAATCTTGTCGTACATGTACCACTATCCGACCACCACTAATCTTGTCGTACATGTACCACTATCCGACCACCACTAATCTTGTCGTACATGTACCACTATCCGACCACCACTAATCTTGTCGTACATGTACCACTATCCGACCACCACTAATCTTGTCGTACATGTACCACTATCCGACCACCACTAATCTTGTCGTACATGTACCACTATCCGACCACCACTAATCTTGTCGTACATGTACCACTATCCGACCACCACTAATCTTGTCGTACATGTACCACTATCCGACCACCACTAATCTTGTAGTACATGCACCACTATCCGACCATCACTAATCTTGTAGTACATGTACCACTATCCGACCACCACTAATCTTGTAGTACATGTACCACTATCCCACCACTGATATTGTCGTACATGTACCACTATCAGACCACCACTAATCTTGTCGTCCATGTACCACTATCCCACCACTAATCTTGTCTTCCAAGTACCACTAACCGATCACCACTAATCTTGTCGTACATGTTCCACTATCCGACCACTAATCTTGTCGTACATGTACCGCTATCCGATCACCACTAATCTTGTCGTACATGCACCACTAATCTTGTCTTCCATGTACCACTATCCGACCACCACTAATCTTGTCGTACATGTATCACTATCCGACCACCACTAATCTTGTCGTCCATGTACCACTATCCGATCACCACTAATCTTGTCGTACATGTACCACTATCCCACCACTAATCTTGTCGTACATGTACCACTATCCGATCACCACTAATCTTGTCGTACATGCACCACTATCCCACCACTAATCTTGTCTTCCATGTACCACTATCCGATCACCACTAATCATGTCGTTCATGTACCACTATCCGATCACCACTAATCATGTCGTTCATGTACCACTATCCGATCACCACTAATCATGTCGTTCATGTACCACTATCCCACCACTAATCTTGTCGTCCATGTACCACTATCCGATCACCAGTAAACTTGTCGTACATGCACCACTATCCGATCACCACTAATCATGTCGTTCATGTACCACTATCCCACCACTAATCTTGTAGTACATGTACATGTCCGACCACTAATCTTGTCGTACATGTACCACTATCCGATCACCACTAATCTTGTCGTACATGTACCACTATCCCACCACTAATCTTGTCGTCCATGTA